TTTTTTTTTTTTTTTACAGGCGATGACACATTTTGCATGTCTCTGTACACGATATATGTGTTCCGGTGTACCAGCAGTTTTATCAACATTGTTAGCTAATATTAATGCATATTATGCTCATACAACTGCAACATCAGCTGTTTCCGCATCTGATCGCTTCAATGCTTCCAATTTTGGCAGAGATCGTTTCGTAAAGCTATTAGATCAATTACATAATTCGTTACGGATTGATTTATCGATGTATCGGGTAAATTTTTTTTCTTTAATCGATTTATCAGGTAAATTACATTTTTTATTCATGTATCGGATAAATTACGATTTTTACAGATCTATCGGATAAAGTACCTTTTTATCGAATGTATCGAGTAAATTACTTTCTTATTCATATATCAATTTAATTACTTTTTCATCAATTATATATAGAGTAAATTACTTTCTTTATTCATATGTTAGATGAGTTAACTTTTTAGCAGTAAGTGAAATAAATTATGTTTTTATCGATATATCAGTTTGTCTTTTTTCTTCCATAATTTGTCTTTTATTTATTTATTTTTTTTTCTAAAATGGAATTCATTTCTTTTCATCGATTTTTTCTTCAATGTTTTTTCTTCCGAATCATTTCCTTCTTTTTTTTTCTTCTTCCTTTTGATTACAGCAAGCAATTTAATCTCTAAAATTGTTCTAACCAAATGGTTGGAATTTTTTTTTTCCAAACCATAAAAAATATTCCCATGTATTCTAATGAGAGTTATTATTCATTTCATCCAATGAGTTTACCTTTAGCTAAACTAAATTTAAAATTTGTAATTTAACTGTGAAATCTATTCAATTAACTGACAAATTTCTGTAATAGTAATACGAAAAACTTAAATATTCTGGGAATTTTGCATGCTAGCATGTGCGGAAATGGAGGATTTTTGAAGATTTCATTTCATTAATTTATGATCTCACTAATTCTGAACTGACAGTCAAATTGAAATTATTTTCTTTTCTATAATAAGTTTTTTTCAGACAAGAACAATATTTTCGACTTATTATTTAACATTTTTCTGCTTTATCTGAGGAGGACTTGGATATTTTGTTAAATTACGTAGTATAGAATAATTTTTAAATTTAAACATGATATAAATATAAATTATGTAAGATAAGAATTGGCTATTATTACATCTATGCTAGCAGTACCACTACTTTATCATTAACTAGCATTTAAATTTTAACGATTCTTTTTAGAAACGAATTCATTTTCAGTTATTCTCAGTTTTATTTATGTATCAGTGGGAAAAGATAAATAAAAAAACAGCCAAAACCATCATTTTATCGAAGTTTTAAAAAGTTTTTTGAAATATTTCCGATTATTCAATCGAAAAAAAGAAACTGCTCACTTGGCATCGCGTATTTTTTACGTCTTATTTTTAAGTGATGAGTGAAAAGACTTAATCGATGTCAAATAGACGTCATTAATTTAATTTGTTAAATTAATTTAACCTCTTAAAATAGTTTAACATTGCTGTTGGTGAATACATCGACCAGATTTGTTTGAATGAAATATTTTTGATTTGTAATGCTACATATATTTTCAGTCTTTTAATTATTTATAATGAATGGTTTAGATAATTATTATAGCTTTGAAGATGAAACCATGACGAAAAAAATGAATATTAAAAAAATCATATAAATGAAAAAATCAAATCATTTTTTTCTCTTTTTCGAAATGAGTAAATTTAACGCGAAGTTACCTTTACGACAAAGAAAATCTGTTTGCAAGAAACATTTGAACATTTCTTTTGCTTATATTTTACTCAATTTAATTTTTTTTTTGAGGAGAAATGCAGAAATTAGATTTTTCTTTTGTTTTAGACCAATGTTGGGGAAGGAGGGAGCAAAGTTTAATAATCATGCTCAAAAATGCATAAAAATTTGAAATGTGCTATAAATTGTTACAGTTAAAATGCTATAATTTATAGCTCATTTTAAATTGTTATGCATTTTTGAGTATGATCAAACTTTGCCTTCTTCTTCCTCTCTACCAATGTTTATCTAAAATAAGGAAAAAATGTTTTAAAATAGAATTTTTAGAGAAAATTAGAAAAAAGATTTCAAAAAAAAAAAAAAGAAGTTCATTTTAGAAACAAAATTACTTTTCCGTCCGATATGCTTTTCGGCATATGTATCAAATTAATTTTCCATCCTGTCAGTTTTTCCATTTCCATTTCATTTCGATTTAATTCTAATTTATTTTTTTCTTCCTAATCAACCGACATAGATAATGACATAACTGATTAACTGAATGATCACTTCCAACCATATCTTAAGATAATGTCGTAAAGGATATTCTTTCATTAATTAAATTTTGTTTTGAATTTAATTAAAAATTCATTATCCTATAGATTTCATTCAAGCATTGTTCCTTATTATTGAATTTTTTTAAAAATTTTTTGTTTTGGAATTTCAAATTTTCTTTTTGAGTAGTACAAAAATCCAATTCCTTTTCGAGCAGTTCGAACAATTTTCAGATTTATCTATCCATATTTAAAATATTCAATTAGCTAATTTAAACTAATTAGTCTAATGGTAATACAATATTCTTAGATTTATACTCTGTTCAGCGATACATTTCTTTAACTTTCTTTTTCGTTACTTCAAATATTTTCTTTATATATTTTATATTTAATTATATACAATTATATACAATATTTTGTCATGTTATATACTGGTGTATTATAACAAGATCAGATAATTTTTGCTTACCTCAATATTTTAGATGTCTGTAACGTTCCTCTTCTGATTAAAGTATACTGTCTCAGGTACAGTACATATTGGTAGAGTATAATTATGAATCTTTTTTCTGAAGAATTATTCTTGAATTTTTTAATTCGATTCAAAATTTTGTCAGTATATATGCTGTCCAGTGTTTACGATATACATTCGTTATCATTTCATAGGATTTAAGTCTATCATCTCACGTGCGTTGCATGTCATCACTTAATCAATTTCATTAGATAATCAAACAGTTTTGATTAAAGAAAAAACAATCTGAAAGATAAGGAAAAGGAAGGAGTGTAATAATTGATATCCGTAACGGAGGTTGATGTTTTGCTGAATTATTGTTCAAATTGATTAATTGATTGGTTATTTATTCTGCAAAATTTTAGTGAAATTTTAGATGACTAAATTGCGAAAGTAAATTCATAATAATTTTACAAATAAAATAAAAAAGTTCATTTTATTCCATTTTTTGTTTGAACTAGAAAGAAGTCATATTGTAATCAATGAGAATTGGAGAGTTTGCATAATTGAAAAATAATTTCCATATCAAGAAATAGTTATCCAATCATGGGATGTAATTTTGAAAAATTTGGAAGTGTAAGTAAATATAAGATAGAACAATTGCTTTTTAATAATTCTTCATCTAAATCATTTATTTTTACTATTAGCTAAACTATTAGCAGTTTTTAGATTTAGGCTGAGTGAAGATCAAAATTAGGTAAACTTTTATGGATTTCTTGGAAAACAGACTTTTTCTTATAAGGTTTTATCAATATTAGATATCATTATTATCAGCACTAGAATGACAATTGGTAAAGAACTATCCATTTATTAATTATTATCACATTTTGAATAGTTGTCGCAATCACATTCGTTCTAAATCTCTTGCTCTTAATTCCTTATATGAAATAAATACTTTATGCTTATAATTTGTTGTAATAATTAACTCATTTTTAATTAATTATATATAAAAAGTTTATTGCGAAGTATTTGACTATGCTTTGCAATGAATTTTTTCTTACAACTTTTAAAAAAAAATTTTTTTTTACAATTTTTTTAAGGCAAGACTTTTAATTCATATAAAAACTTTTAATTCATATAAACTTTTTACAAGCAAACAACTTTTTAAGGTATTGAATTTTAAGTGAATTTAATTTTTTCATTGGAAACCTTAAAATTTTTCCTTTTTTTCAAATAAAATAATGAACTGTGGTGCTTTTTAATGTGATGAAAAGTTACATCTTATTTTGATAACAATTCTATAATGCTATTATTTGATTTTTTCTCAGATATTGTTTTCTTCTCTATTTATTAATTACTTATTATTAAGCACATAATCATACATATTTATTGATAATTTATTAGAATATCAATTAATGAGTGATATTTTACAGAAATATTTTCCATCATCATCACCTGCCAAATTAGCTGATCTAAAATCAACGGTTGATTTGCTTACATCGATAACATTCTTTCGTATGAAAGTATTGGAATTGGCCAGTCCACCACGTGCTTCAAATGTTGTAAGTGAATGCGCAAAAGCTTGCATGCAGGTAAATCATTCATTTATTTAATTAAATTTTAAATTAATTTCTGTCAAAAAAGCCAAAAATATTTGAAAATTAAATTGCAATAAATTTCATTTAATCTTTAGGCAACGTATCAATTAATGTTTGAAAGTTGCTGTGAAGATGGTGGCCCATCGACGGATAGTGTAAATTTTTGGTTTGATTTTCTTGATTATATGATGCGAGTGATTGAGGATGATAAGAATATTTATACGCCCGTGTTGAATCAATTCCCGCAGGAATTAAGCGTGGGGAATTTATCAGCGGCAACATTATGGCAATTGTACAAAACTGATTTACAAATGGCTTTAGAAGGTCAGCAAAGTTTAAGTTTTATTTCATTTAAATTTAAACTTAAATGTTAAAAAAAATAAAATTATGAATTTATCATATGGAAATTTTGATAGATTATCCCATTTATAATAATAATAGGAT